TACCAATTCTGTAGCAAATATCAATGTCTTCTTTCGTAAGATTTATCCTCATCTTGGAATTTAAAAAAGAAATTACTTCTTGCCTTGTGTCTTCTTGATGTTTTTCGGTGAGTTTAAATATTCTTAAATTATTCATTTTTAGCTGCTGGTCCATGTTATCAAAATTGTTTATCATTTTGTTTTTTTCATCCATCAGAATTTTAATTTGATCTTTTAATTCGTTAAATTCGAATTCATTTTCGTTTTGCTTTGCAATAAGGTTATTTTCCATTTCAGTCAACTTGTTTTGAATTTTATCAAGTCTTTTACTAACGTTTTTTATGACAGCCTCTGCCACCTTATCAGCAATAGTCTTTTAAATTATTTAAAAGAATATCATTCACTGCAGATTTTATTTCATCACTAGTATCTCGTGTTAGAACCATATTTTTTTATTTTATTGATAATACTAGCTCTTTATACTGACGTATTGAATACACTTGCAAGTTTTCAAAATTTAATTTTGTTTTTAAACCACTTAAAACTGTGCAGAACTAGAAGCGCACAAACCATGAACTATTATTATTATTATTATCAAAAGTATAATAATTTATTGGGCAATCTCTGTAGAAAACCTCTACTGTTTCATTATAGAAAGCTTTAATATGTTCGCTCATTAGCAACAACTTAAAACACCGCCAGATACGATAGTCTGAAAGATAATCTCGGATTTTTTTATAACACCCTTATGCGCATTATAATTTCTCGCCTAAGGGTTCAAGAGTGATTTCCTGCTGTCTGCTGAGATAACGACTATAAATCTCCCATTAACACAGCAAAAATCACAATGGCAATTGGAACAATGGGCAAAATTATTATGTTTATTGTTTTTGTCTTTATTTGTTGAATTTCCTTAGGTTATAACTGCTCGTATATGCTCAGTCCATCGGAAATATATTCAATCGCGAGCGTAGTTTGATACGGGCCAATAGGAACTTGTTACAGAAGTACACAATTTGTTTATCTATTACGACGATCACTTTCAGTAATTAACTACAACTGTTACGAGTTTATTGCATGATTATTTTATTTAATAAAATAATGATTTGTAGCAAATGACAATATTTTTGTAATAATTAGATTTTAACATAAAATGAACGACTATCAAAATATAATGCATACATAAATATTACAAATGTACAATGGAGCCAAAGAGCACTTAAGTGTTTTTCTTCTATTTGGTTATTCTTTTTTTTCTTTTACCACTACTGTCTCCAAAGTTTCTAAGCTATTGACTTGACTTTCTCCCGCTTTTGTTCCTGCTTTTTTTTTAATTTTCGTAATTTAGAATATAGAAAACTTACGAGGACTCCACTTCAACAATGGTAAGTCATTGATGAAAATACATGTTTGTAATGAGTGCATTATTATTGCCTAATAAAATATATTTTTGCTTTTTACCCTAGCTAACTTTCGTTATATCTGTATCTGTAGCGTGTGGAAGATGGGTTACCCCCACGGCACTTAGGCCTCATTAGGCCCATTGTGCATCCTCCTAAGATGATAGGCACCTCCTAGCTCGTAAGCCAGCCTACAGATTTAATGTAGCTGACAACGTCGCCAAGAGGTGCTTCTCTTATATCGGCCGGTGTTAGCCGATACTCGCCGAACACAAATCTTCTAATAGATGAGAGCGTCGAGCAATTGCAAAGACTATGCTCGATGGTCTCATCTTCTTGTTTGCACCCTCTGCAGAGTGCAGATTCTGACAGCCCCATAATATGGAAATGCTTCCGTACTTCGCAATGACCAGTCAGAATGCCTGTGACTAGGCGCAGATTCTGTCTAGTCATTGTTTGCTCCAGTGTTGTCAGGATAACTTAAGCGCTCCCTGGCAACTCTGCAGTTTCTTGTTTCATCCCATCTTTCCTTGAATTTCACAAGGGAATGTTATTTAATTAAGTCTGCCACTGCCGATTTTGTCAGGCTAATAGAAGGGCCAGGTCCAAAAAGTATTTGGTTGGCTGCTTTCTTGGCTAGTGAATCAGCAAGATGGTTACAATTCGATGTGGCGTGACCTTTGATCTATCTTCAGGTGACCACTTCGGCCAAAGCTTGGTGACATTCTAGTACTAACCCTGAATAAATTCTTGGTCTGTTAAGGGTGAATAGTGCTTATTTGCTATCTGTATAGATGAGCATGTTCCTTCCAGCGATATTATTTCTAGTTATTTCTTTTGTTGCTATGAGAATCCCCGTTAGCTCTGTTTGAACTACACTGGCACTATTGCTCACAGCCCATTTTATGTATAGGTTTAAGAATCTGGAATATATTCCACATCCTGAGCCTTGTTTTGTTTTAGAACCGTCGGTGTAGATATGAATCGTACCTGCCTATTCTGGCTCTTTTATTTGTTCTATTACAACTTTATATGGCTTAGTTGAAGCAGTTGGAGCGTATCAAGCGCCCCCTGCCAAAAGTGACGTCTCGCCTCACCAGATCCTACATCAGGTTCTATTCCAACCGTGCGAAGGCGTGACATTGTCGCCAGAGCAACCTCCTTGATGTAAATACCAAGGGGAGTGAGACTTTCGTTATATTTTAGGCCTCTTATTCTTCCTCCCTATCCTTTGCTTGCCTTCTTTTTTTTCCTTCATCTTTTGCTGGTTTAAGCTCTTTATAATAATAGCTTGTATCTTTTGCTGAGTTGCTGGCGTTTGTCCAGTGGATTCTGTTCTTCCTAGCCTGCTTTATTAACTGATATTGCTGTATTAATGCCTACCAGATAGAGAGAACTTATAGTTACTTACCAGGCCCATTTAGACCTATCCAGCAAAAACCGGAAAGATTCCCTTTTTGGAACAAGTAAGTTTGGTTTTAATTTTTCATCTGATAGAACTCATATTACACTGTGGATTCCTCATTTCTCCATCCTAGAGGTTAATGAGAAAAATGACTAACACAACTTTAACAAATTAAGAAAACAAAAATGTTCATTCTTTGATTGTCATCTATCTACAGTGTTGCCAACTCAACATATGTTAAATGTATTCTAACCTAAGCTAAGCGAAAACCTAATGTTATCTAATTTAACTAACTAGGCGTTAAACATATGTCAAGTGTCAAAAAGTTGGCTTCTAACATATGTTAACTATCAAAAGTTTTGCCAAAATAACCCAACATATGTCAACTGTCAAAAAAGTTGGCTAATCTAGGATTCAAGAAGGCGGCACTCTTTGGCAGGTCACTAGAGGCTGATAAAATGACGCTTTCTAACAAAATAAAGCATTTTGGAGATACTTTCTATTTCCCAGTATGTTCCTGTATGTCCAGTATAACCCAGTACCTAGGCATCTTTCAGACGTCTCCCAAAGGATCGCCTTGCCATCATTAACGAGGCTTCCGCTCTCCTTGTGGTTTTTTCTAGATGCTGGTTTCAGGTAAGTCTCGAGTCAATCATAACTCGGATATATTTTACCTCCCTCTTTAGCTGGATGCTTGCACCTCTAAGGTTTAAAGGCCCTAGTCCCTCCAATTTACTCCTGCGGATGAATGCAATTATGTCAGATTTGTTTGGGCTAATGTTTAGTCCTTCCGCCTCTGTCCATTTTGTTACTATATTTAGAGCCTCTTGCATTCGATCAAAAAGGTTAGTAGGTTAGTCGCTGCCATCTGATAATAATAAATTTTATAATATAGAAAAAAATATATTTAAATGATTTTTTCTAAAATTTGTATGCACTTACTAGTCTTGGTATATAAATAACTATTTTTCTTTTTCAAATCGAAACTGTAAGTTGTTCTATTATGAGCCTGATCTCTTAGATACAGTTATGGTATTTATCTGGTCCACAGTGATGTAGTTAGCGATGAGAATATGGTTCAAACTCTCACTCTCATCAGGTGAACTACGCCCATGGAACTGTCTAACAATGAGAAAAGGCAATAAAATTGGTTTATATTCTCATGAATAATATATTGTTAGAACTAGCTATTCATAGACTTTTGTTTTTCTACACATATTAATACAAAGTGATTTAAGTTTATAGCTGTATTGGTCAAAGACATAATCATTAAATTCGAGGTAAATTTTATGTAAAAGGTTCGTTTACCGACCTACATTTCATCAAAATTTTATATTAGTTTAACCTTTGTCCGTGATCTACGGTTATCTTGTCTTTAAAAAGTTATGTCAGTTCCTATTCCGGATCATTTATATCTTTTTACCTTTTATTCATTATTGTTTAAAATTAAGAGGAATACATAACCTCGCTTATTTAAAATAAAAGTCAAACGCCGTTATTTACCAAGCGATTTTTTTGAAATTTTGGGAGTTAATTTACTTTATACTTCTAAAAAATAGTATGGAAGCAGATTTTTTTTGAAAAGTCTAATTTTTGAGAAAAAAAAATATTTTCACTCCGATTTTATTTTTTTTCAAAAATCTGCTGCCATAACTTTTTAGATATTAGTTAGATGTAACCATTTTAATAACAATGTTTTGAAGAATATTGATAGGGGTTGAAGTATCAGCTACCTGCGAATCGCAATGGGAAATACCTATCAAGGTAGGTGATTCATGATCTAAATGTATATATGGTATTTTTAAGTTTCCACCTCCCCTCTTGTCCACTTTAGTTTAAAATGGTGTGTGAGGGTATACGATATCAATAGGTATAAGTTTATTTTTTTACTTCTACGTACGTAAATTTGATATAAATTTATGATTTTGGTGACGATACAATAATATGGCTCAAAATTAATAGGAAAAACACCTTGCAACAATGATGCGTTACCCGAAATGCAAAGATTAAGAACCCTAGCCTAAGTGTGCGTGACTAAAAATTTAAAAATAATTTTTATAAAAAACTTTTTAAGCACAAGCTTTTATTAAATGCACTTAAAAGTAGGAACTAATTTTTTTGATATCTGATAGCATAATAAAAGCGATGGGCGCAAATTTGAAACAATTTCATATTTTAGACCTACAATTTAAATTAATGAGAATGCACGCACTCACAAAAAGTCGCGTATCATCTTTATTTGTGAAAATTAAACTTCACATGCTAGCATTTTTTAAAAGCAAAAGAACTCAGCTTTCGAATGGTTTAAAAATATACATAATACATATTTAAATAAGTTATTTTTAGTTGAAAAAATTTTTTTTCTTTGTTCTGTATAAATGGAAAAAAAATTAATGTGTTTCGAAAAGAAACTTTCGAAATTTGAAACTTAGTGGTTGAAACCGCACATTTCTATCTTATTTCGTTTATTTAAATAGTATTGAATCAAAACTATAATTAAGTTCTTAAATATCTGAAGAATATAAATATAATTATAATATTTTTGTATCTTAATCTTTTCAAATTAAAAAAAATGTAGTTAAACATTTTGTCATCCGATCTAATTCACGTTCAAATGCTCGATGATTAAGATCAAGTCTGCAAAGGTCAGCTCACAAAATTATATTTTAAACATAAAATATATATATATATATATATATATATATATATATATATATATATATATCCTCGTAGAATTCACGCACCGTGTTCAGTTACTTCAGTTAAATTCGAGGGCCTGGGAGAACAATAATTTTTGGCTGGCACGCTTATGATTTTCTCTAGTTCGCTTAAGACTGGAGCTGACGATTCGAGAAGATTGTTGACGCGAAATCAACATTAGGTTTGTTCGTAGAGACAGTTTCAAACGGTTGGTGATTCTTTTATGATGCGCATGCGCGATTTTCAACGGTTTGGGATTTATTGTCATTTTTATGCTCTGCGAACGCATGTTTTACAGTTGTGGATTCTTCTCTACTATTCTCGTGAATTAGATATAGATTTAGTAAATGGTTAAAAAAAAGAAGAAATTGTGTTTATAATTTGCACCCAAATTCCCATTTTATCAACATATTTTACTTTTATTACCTGTTTTAAAGTTAAAGACTGATATTTTATCAGGATACTGAATGGTGTATGTCTTTGTGGTCTTATGTTATTTATTAATTGTTATGTATCTGTACTAATTACACTTATAAAAACAACTAATCAAATCAATATAAGTATTGACGAATTAAAAACACATAAACGGACATAAATTTCAAGCCAAACAAATGTCAAATTGTAGGTTATTAAAAATAATTCATGTACGCATGCCCCGGATTTAAAATTCGGAGAATAATCAGGGATTTTTCCAACCGTTTCCAATCAGTTGGCAATTACTTCATTTGTTTCTACGAACACCAAATTAATAATTGGAAACTATCAGTGATTCTTCTACGAACGCAAAATAATCAATGCGCATGCGCTGTTCAGTTGGAAACGGTTGTGGATCGCTCTACGAACAAACCTATTATTCTCACGTAAATTTATCTGTTTATCCTTTTTCGAACAATGTGGGTCGTTCAGACACTGCAGCTTGAGCGAGCCTATTACTTACTCTTAATAAAAATATAATAACATAATTAAGTCCACCAATCGCATTTCACATTTTGGACACCCAACTACTATTATTTTTAAAATTTTAAATAAGTGAAAATAGCTCTTATATCTTGATCATAGATATTTCTGTTTCCCAACAAGAAAATAGAAGAATAGTATAAAAACATTATGATGTACATTGAACCTAAATATTTATTATCGACTTCATCCTCATAATTGTAATAATAATAATCCTATAATTTACGACGCTTATATCCTACGCCATGGAGGTATAATTTCATTATGAACCAAAACTCGTAAAATCCTGTATTACTGAAATATATGATTACAACAAGTTTTAATTAAATATTTAATTAACCAAACATTTATAGATCTAAAGAATAAAGATACACCTACAAATTATCCGATTCTCAAATGAAATACTAAAAACCAAATTGAACAAAATCCTAATTGAATAAATCCTAAGTTGGTGTTATTAGAATTGTAGTGTGTATGTAAAAGAAATAGAAACCATTGGTGTAGTTAAGGATATTTAAGTAATGCAGGACTCTTTACAGAAACATTTGTGAGATCAGTTTGTTGATTTGTTCAATAAGACCTTTAGACTCAGTGGCGGCTTGTGGTAATTTAAAATGGATGTTCACTTTTTCCAATAATTTTATCACTTGTAAGTTCGGATCAAAACTTTGTAGGAGAGTCAATATCGCTGTTTTTTTTATTATTTGAGTTTGTATTAAGTGTAGTTATTATTATCAACATCATACTGTTTTCAAGCACTACAACTATTATTAAATGAATATTTTAGTTAGTGTAATTGTTAAGTAATTAGTTCTTTTGTTATGTTTTGTGCTGTATAAATAAGTACATAGTTTATATATTGTTAGACTTTTATATTAGTGATCATTCGGTAAATTAAAAACAAATGATTTTTTTGAGTACTGTTTACGTGTAAGTCACGATAATATAAAAGTCATCCTACCACCTTTTTATTTTATATTTGATATAAATAAATCAGTTAAAAAGATAGCAGTGTGTTTCTGCAGATATATAAATTTAACCAAATCACACAGGTTATGGGCCCAGTAATACGCTGAGGAAAGTATCGTTTGTCGAGTTTATATATACCCTTCAAGAATCTGATTAAAAATGTGCGAAAAATGTGCGGATGTTACTAGCATCAATAAGTTTGATGGAAGCAATTACCAGCAGTGGACCTTTCAAATGAAATGTGCCTTGAAAGCAAAAGGAATATATGACGTAGCAGCTGGGACAGCTCCCAAGCCGCCGAATGATGGTGATGATCAGAAAGCCTGGTGCAAGAAGGATGCTCAAGCAATGTTCACTCTCACTGCGGCAATGAACTATTCTCAAATAACTTTGGTTGAGAATTGTGATTCGTCTAAAGAGATCCTTGATAAACTGAATGCAATCTACATGCAGAAGTCTGAGATGAGCAAAATGCTTGTACACGAACGGTTTCATCAATATAAGATGGATCCAAACGACTCCGTTGCTCATCATATTGCGAAAGTAGAAAATTTGGCGAAGCAAGTAAAAGACGCTGGGGAAATAATCAGTAATGCAGCAGTAATGACCAAAATCTTAAGTTCGCTGCCATCGAAATACCGAAATGTTCGTCAAGCTTGGCTTTCGTTAGATGAAACCAAACAGACCATTGCAAACCTAACTGCTCGATTACTGGACGAAGAATCCAACCTAACCTCTATTGAAGAAGCAGAAACTGCATTGACAGCCATGTCACTTAAAAAACATAAAAGAAGTTTCAAAAAATGTTACAAGTGTCACAATAGAGGTCATATGGCAAGATACTGCAGAACAAAATTAAATTCTGATGGTCATAGAGACGAGAACACAGCTAGTGCTTTTAATGTTGAATTGGAAACTAGTATTTCCAGTGCAGACTGCTGGATAATGGACAGCGGAGCGTCAGCGCATATGTGTTACCGCAGAGACTTCTTTTCAACATTTAAAGAGGTTAAAGATATCACTGTTTAGCTGGGAAACAATTACACTTTGTTTGTCAAAGGTAAAGGAACGGTACGAGTCCAAAAACTACTCAATAACAAATGGTATGAAGCTACGATTAACGACGTGCTGTATGTACCAGATTTGAAGAAAAATCTCTTTTCCGAAGGCGTGGTAACCAGCAAAGGCATGAAAATCATAAAAAATAACGCAAGAGCAGAAGTCTTCAATGAATCGCAATTAATTGCTGTAGGTATTCGAGATTCAAATAATCTTTACAAAATGATGTTTCAAACTGAAGTAGTTGAAGTGAACGTCACCTACAGAGAATCTCTTAGAAAATGGCATGAGAGACTTGGGCACATTAATGTTAAAACACTTCGTGAGATGAGCGCCAAAAATCTTGTCGAAGGTGTTGATTTTAGTGATGTAAATAACTTCTTCTGTGAACCCTGTGCCTACGGAAAACAGCACCAGATTCCTTTTAAAAAAACGGTACATGAAAAAATGCAAGTGGGTGAAAAAATATTTAGTGACGTATGTGGACCTATGACCACCCCATCTGTAAGAGGTGCAAAGTATTTTGTAACATTTAAGGACGATTACTCCGGATATCGCAGTGTAAACTTTATAAAGCACAAGTCAGATGTGGTAAACTGTTTTAAAGAATTCGCAAACAGTGTCAAAAATAAATTTGGACAGCCAATAAAAGTGCTTCATACAGACAATGGCACTGAATATTGTAACAGTGATTTAAAACGTTTTCTAATAAATGAAGGAATAAAACATGAAACATCAGCACCATATACCCCTCAACAAAATGGTCGTGCTGAGAGAGAAAACAGAACAATTATTGAAAGTGCTAGATCAATGATCTATGGTGCGTGCGTTCCAAGATTCCTGTGGGCCGAAGCTGTCAATACGGCAGTGTATATTTTAAATCGTGCTGGTACTAGTCAGGCTCCAGGTGCTACTCCATTCGAACTTTGGTACGGCAAGAAGCCAAATCTCACTCATCTAATAATATTTGGTACTGAAGCTTATGGCCTTGTTCCTGACCAAAAAAGAACAAAGCTTGACTCAAAAAGCAAAAAGTACATACTTGTTGGATATGATAATGACTCAAATAATTACAGACTTTTCGACCCCAATACAAAAAAAATAACGATTTCGAGAAATGTTTTATTTAACGAAACCCTCAAAGGGTTTGTACCCAAAACTGAAATCTTTCCCATATCCAACGAAGATGAAGAGGTTGAAGAAACTGAACATGAAGCAGATAATTATGAACAAGAAAATGAAATAGATGTCAATCAAATCGAACCAGAAGTAGCCGAAGAAATTACAGACTTACCTGATAGACGCCCAAAGAGAAACATTCGAATGCCAAAAAGATATGAAGATTATGAACTAAATTTTGTAGAGGTAGATATACCACAGATCTATGAAGAAGCCTTAAGTGGTGACAATGTCAATGAATGGAACAATGCGATTAGAGAAGAATTAGATGCCCTTCATAAAAATGAAACTTGGCAGTTATGTTCCGTACCTGACAATAAAAATGTAAATGTCATCGGATCTAAGTGGGTTTTTAAGGTTAAAAGAAAG